AATGTCAAAACTAATTTACAAATAAGATGCATTCCCTTCTCTTTCGATACAAAAAAAAGCCGGTGGGATTTGCTTTATGAATTGGATTAGCTTTAACACGCTGACGCAGATTCCAGTGAAAAGCCAGAAAAAATTTATACCTTTGAAATTTGTACCCATGCAAAAAGAAGATCAAAACGCGACTTTTTCTCAGTGATATTGAGAATGAAAGTGCAAAGTGCCAAATATTTGTTGTTAATTCGCATCAAATTTAAAATCTAAAAAATCATTCAACTTACTCAATAAATTCGCGTGAAAATCCAGCGGACAGATGTCGTAACTGTGCGCCATCAACTTTCGTAAAGTTTTTTGCGAAAGCTTTTCGATCTACGCCTAGACGCTCTGCTTTTTCGGCAAACAAATCCAGATACTGTGAACTTGCATAAAGCGCACGGGGGCGCTTATTGTCATGCTGCAAACAGTTACTTAAATAAATGGAACATAGAAAGAGGCATATTTCAAATTCACTCCTTCCTCCCTCTCCTCAAAATGATGTAATTATCTGTTTTTGCGCTCCTCTGCGGTATTTTGAGTCCTTTCGCACAATTCATCGTTTAATGACTCATTGTGCGTAGGTCAATGCAATTTAGCAATCTGCCTTTTGACCAAAGGCTACGCCCTCTGACAGCCGTATTTCACACCCTTCACTTGAACTCGCATTCCGCTCAAACAAACGATTTTGGAGTCACTACCAGAGCAAAACGAACAGCAGCTACTTCGCCGTAGCTCATTCCCATGGGTACGCCATATGTATGATATTAATGCTAAAAATTTTCGATGTCAAAAATGTGCCAGCAATTTCAAAACTTCGAAATTTTCCGCATGCTGTGGACATTTGCTACTGCAGTGGAAAAATTCTTCTAGGCTTATGAATGCTCGACTAAAACTACAGCTTTTCAAAAATTAGGTAATTTTCTTAGGCTTTTTTGATCCAGACGGGCTGTTATTTGATAAGGAAGCAAAGACGTTAAGTAAGCAAACTAGGCATCAAATGCGCTTTTATCACGCCCTGGAAATTCTAGAAAAGCTGAGACGGACGGTGCAACATGTTTCGGACTCGATTAATGCCGAGAGGAGACTTCGAAGGGGCACCAGTAAAGCTCCAGAGCAAAGCTCGAGGAAGAAAACTGCGTGAACATTTCAATTGAAAAGATTATGTTTACCGCTTACTAAACGTGACGAAATACGGAAGCCATCTTAAACAGTCAAGAATAAATGCCCAGATGGTCGCGATTTATGGTATGGTTGGAGATAATTGTTCAAACAGGCTCACGTGCAAACAAGGCTTTGGCGAGTAACAACCTACCGATAGGTAACAAAATATACCGATCAAAGGAACTCCAAGGCGATCGCACAGAGGAGTCCGGAAATCCTGTGGATGCCTCCCAGCACTGATTTGACAGAACGTCAAGGGTCTGGCAAATTCATGTGCTATTAATTCAAAGCACAGCCTCTTCCGGAAAAATGACTATGGCAAGCAGGGTCGCCAGGGTTGTCACTAACAGAAGAGCAAGAAAAATCTCGAGATTTGTCTTCAAAAGAACGAAAAAAAAAAGTAAAAACAGGAACCAAGAATTCCAAGATTGATCTCAAGCTGCTGCAGTTCTTTCACAAAGACAGCCAGCTTCAACTGGCGCCCGATGGCACGTGAAAGTAAAACAACGGCAGAACAAAATAGTGCATTATATCAAAAAAATGCAACTTATGGGAAATTATAAAAGAATAATAAGTAAACATTATTAAGACAGTTTTTTTTATCGGAATGGTAAAAAAATGCCCAATTAACATTTGTGAAGACTATGTGTTCTCTGTTAACATCAAACCCAGCTGTATGATGGAAAGAGCGGAAGTGTTAGAA